GTCTATCATTTCAATCTATAAATATGTCGTGGAAAGATCCCTCAACTATTCTCTCTTTTCTTGCCTTCTGCTTTGCTGTCAGAGTAGAAAGAGGGGCCACAAGTCACTACATAAAGCAGCTATTATGTGATCCTTAAATTTCTTTGATGGTTACAAAAGTCAACTCATTGTTGGATATTTGCTGAACCACATTGAGAAAAAGCTTTCCTGACATTAGCTATCCTAGGAGCACCTCTTCCCTGAAAAGCTATTTCTAAGAGTTAGAACTATTATGAATAGCCTTGGATATGTTATGATTAGCAAAAGCTGGAGGGGATAATAATTAATAAAAATTGCTAACTGGAATAATCCTTTAAAAAAGTGAGAGTGCTTTATATTGTGCAAGTAGTTATTTGCTCCAGCTTAACTGTTCTTGCAAAATCATTCCCCCAAATTAAATATCTCTTAACAGAATCTTGTATATGTTGTGGTTACAAATAACTTAGTTGTTGTTGTTCTTGTGTTGCTGTCTTTCCCACACATATCAGATAGGGATTCGCAAATTTCATATGCAAATTTAAATGCAAGTGAGAAAAATGTGGAGAAGCAATCAATACCTAAATCCTACTGAAATCAATTAAGTCCCCATTAAATGTGCTCAAAAATATTTTTTAAATAGGTCTGAGAAGATGTAACTAATAATCCATCACTGCTTCCCTATCACAGGATTTTTATACAGATTCCCAAAAGAGATTACACATCACTTTCTAACTAATAAATACCACTTACACTGAAAATATAACAAATAATTATATATAAATTCAAGATCTAAGGGCAGAACAAAGATGGAAAAAAGCAGAATATTGAATGGCAAGTTGAATATGCAGCTCGCATAATCAGTGATCCATCTCCTTCAAGGACCCATAGTTCGAAAGAGATGCTAATCCACAGAAAGAGAATTTGTTAAGACAGTGGATAACATTCTAGAAAGAAGCATGCGCAAATATATAATGGCACATGAGTGATTAATCTCTACTTACCAAAAATAATGTCCGGAATGTACTTAGGTCTCCAAAGAATTCCTCAACACTCACAGATTTAGGATCAAAAGTGAAGTAGTCCCCCAAATTATCATACAACTTTATCATGTTGTTATGCATGTTGGACAACTTTTCATATTGTTCTCTGGCACTCTTAGCAAAGCTGTGTTCTTGTTGTTAAGGAAGCTTGAATGAATAATACAACCATCCTACTTTCTAATTTTTCCTTTGCCAATGTTTGATACAAAAAACAAGCTTTCCATATTTTAGCAAGCTTAAAACCAAACCTTCTGAAAATAAGGATGTCTCACACTTGCTTGATTCAAGTTCATTCATGTACAACTGCTGGTTGTTGAAAGAAATCACTGTTTGCTCGAGTTCCTTATCTTGAGCAATCTGTGAACAACTAGGTTGCTGGAGTTTTGAAGCAAAGACAGAGAAAAGAGTTAGCCTTATATCCCACAAAAATGACACTGAACAACACTTATGGGGGAAATATTCTGTGAAATCAAAGATATAATTCTGATGTGTTCCTGTATTTTAGGATTCTGGAAATGAAGAGTCATAAAAATATACCCCCCTTTTTTTAAAGAAAAGGTAAGTGATCTCACACAGTCCAGATAATTACACTCAGAATAAACCCCAATAAACCTTAACATTATCAACACAGGGCATCCTTGGAATGGCATGACACATAAATTGCAAATATAGTTCTGAGAAGTTACATAACTCCTAATCCAATAAAGTTGTGCCTCTTGGCTATTCTGGGGCTGCATCAAGAGTACCCTGAGAAACTCGTATGAACAGGGGTATACTTAAAACGTCGTAAGAATCAAAACCTCCTAGCAATATTTAAACGAAAACATCTGAGGAATAGCTTGCAGAATTACCGTGGGTGTGTCAGCAGTAGCGGGTGTATGTTGGAACTTCTACGCTGTTGCTTGCACGTTATTATGCTTTTTTGTTTAATGAACTAAAATTAAGCAGGGAACAAAAAATAACACTGTTCTAAGTGCTGGGATTGCAGCACAGTGAACATACTGTACTTAAAAAAAAAAAAAGAATAACTGAAGAGGACTTGAAATTAACCTAAGATCTACTTGACCTTCATAACAATTTTAGTTACAAATTGCATAATTGTCACCTGAAGTGGAAGGAAGCAATTTCATACAGAAGTTAAACGTCAAGAACAATGCACATGCAAATAAAGGTTAACATTTTATTAAGGTAATAATTAAGTCATACCTTTTCATTCTTCAACTCCAAATTCAATAAATGCTTCATTAATTTTTTTAATGCCAAAAATAAGGGGGGGGGGAAGCGATTAGTAACATTTATTCTTTACCAAATAGTAGCTTGCATGATGCTGTTAAAGCGGTGGTTTTATACAGCTGCTCAATGCATGTTCTCCCTTACGCTAAGGCAGCTTTTCTAACGGCCCATTCCAGGGGAACTCCATAAGCATTTGTGACACATGTAAAAAAAAGGACAGGGTCATGTTGTCATGGCTTCCATCTTGACTTTTTTTTAACTTCTCCTGTGGATCCTCTGTCCATAATTCTGACAAAAATACACCTGAAATGGAGAAAGATTTAAAAATCAATCCCTTTGTAGTACAGATAGAAACACACAAAGACACACGCATGCTAGATTGAGATGAGTGGTCTACAGACTGTTTGTGACCCACAAACTACTTTTCCCCCCTGCCAACAGAATTGTGCGAAGCATTGGAATGACTAGTTGGGTATTCAGTCTTCAATAGGTCTAGGACACACCAGGCACTGAGAAGACAAATGATACCTATGTTATGCATCCTTGGCCAAACTGTGTTTCCATGAACAGAAATTGGCAGAATGTTTTTATGATATTGTAATGGTATGTGGGGATGACCTTGGGAGGCAGGAAGAAGAGCCGCAGCCTAGACAATGGTCTGATAAACGAAATTTGAGTCTGAGGGAAGGGTGGGGGTAGAGAAAGTGTCTCAGAAAGGA